ATATATATGTATGTATAATCCCTGGGCTAATATTGTAAGAACAAGCTCTTGGGCCAAAACACCAAGTCAGGATATTCTTTTGACCTGAAATAGTTTAAATCATCAATCCCTCACATTGTGAAGGATTTCTTTTCTTAGGAAAAGAGGATTTCGAGCTCTGAAATCCTGGATGTGACATGTAAGATCTAGATCCATTATTGGAGCAGGAACTTGTTTGGAGCATTTTTGGGCTCCAAGTAATTTGTTTTTTCTAGATTGGTATTAGAGATTAATAAAGATTATTTGAGGGATTTGAGGTCAAACAAATCCCCCTAGTTATGTGTTTGGCCCTCGGCTGAATTGCTACAGTATTAGCCTTGGGACTTACCAAATCTTTCCCTGTATCTATCGGAAGAGAGAGCGAGAGAATAGTGTTTTCTGTGTCGAAAATGTCTCAATGAGGAATATTTTCCCTGAGCATGAGAATTAGTATGAGAGAATGAATCGGGTAAAGATTGTTTTGAGGCAATGTGAGGTGAGGCAAGGCAGAGGGGTTATGCACCTTTTGGCTGAAGTAGTGATGAACATTCATGAATGGGATAAAATAAACTCAGAAAGAAATAAAATGGTTCCTGGAAGAATATTCGATAACAGTAACTGTCCTAGTTTGTGAATCTTGATTGCTCTATGTTCCTTTCTTGTTTTCACTCAATTTGATCTGATGTTATGTAGAAAACTTCTAGTTTGTCTAAGTTTTTTATTCAGTGAGTAAATTAATTCTTGAAAATATTAAAGAAAGCAAAGTATCAAACCAGCAGCTCAATATTTTGCAAGTTAGCTAAAAAGGAAATTGCCCATTAAACAGAGCATCACAACCCCTTGTTTTTTCCTTTGGCAGCTCTTTAAACTGACTTATTGAAACCTAAAATCTTGAAGCTATCCTAGCTGTTCAGTACTTAAATCTTTACAACCCATCCTATTCTAAACTTAAGTATCCACACCTCAAGAAGGCCAAAGTAAATAGAGTCCCAATGAGCCTAACATGTGACTTTTTAAATCCCAAAACCGAATCCTGAAAGATCGCTACTCCCTATAGCCATAGGAAACAAAACCTAAATAGTTGATACACCATAATCTTTGAATTTGGATGGGTTCCCAACTTTACTGGATCAGCTTGTCTACATTCACTATCCCAATTAAAACTCCTGTAGATTCCTGAAAATCATTAGAACTCCTGTAGATTTGTGAAAATCATTTAGGACTTCTTTGCACTTTCTCACTTGGGATTTGTAACCTGGAGTACCTACTGAGAGAAGAAATAATATGATTGAGTGATGTGAGGCATTCCTGGATTGAAGGTGCCAACAGCCCCCAGAGTCCTACTTCGGTGTTGTCACCCAGAGCAAGGTTTTCAACCAATATATAATTGAGAGGAGGACCATCTAGTGTTGCTGGAAAATGATCACATTACCTTCTGGTTACAAAATTGTAAAATTATAGTTGTATTAATGCCCAGTTTTCCTTGAGCTTATCACTGTTGTTTCTCATTGACTTGGTCTGAATCGTATTCTGACTACTGATCACCCCATTTGCTTCTCGTGGACATATTGTTGGTTTCCTTAGTGGATTTCATGGGCTTGGCCAAAATAATGCTAACATGGTCAACTCATGTCTGACCTATGCAGAAAAGATATCATGGATCGTTTAACACAAACCAGCAAAGTAGATACAATATTTCTCTATTGACAGGGTCGGTTATGGCTAAGCACTTCACACCATGATTATCACTATAACAAATGATCAACTAAATTTACCCCGAGGAGTCTTTTCATCTGCATAGCCGTGTGAGAGAGGACTTCTGGCTACAGGACTCTATTGAAATTAAATTAGCCTATTAACTATTCATATACTGCATTGTTCCCTTTTGTGCCTCCACTTATAAGTTGGACAATGGCAGCATTCTGCAAGTAAGAGCATAATTAGCATTTAATACATTGAAGGCCCCAGTTATGAAATTTACTAAATGCATTTAATTATTTATGAGCATATCATGCATGACTACAACATTACCTTTTAACATTGTTCAGAAAGGTGGACCGAGTCAAGTTGACTTGGAGGGCCTGACTTTTTTAAGACAATATCTATAGAAAGAGCTCAGAGGCTGAGAAAAACTGTCATTAGTGAGAGTATTGTGAATGACATTACCTGTCTGCCAGACAATACAAAGGATTTGATGTGGTTGCACCTGAGTTTCCTTTCAAGTTTTGGCTGTAAAGTGCAACCCAGTTTGGCCTGGTGTCACACGGTTTTCTTATTGATTTTGTTATAGAGTGCATGCAGTTCAATTAGAGTTTACTGAAGATTGTATTTATGGTAACCTTAAGGTGTGTTTAAAATAAATGATTGAACAATTTTGTTTGAAAATTCTAAGCGCGTCCTTGCATGCTTTGCTGTTAAAGATTTTGTCCATTGTTATCTCTTACTTCATTGGTGTCCCCTATTCTCCAATTTTGCCGGCTAATTGTAATTTCATGTGGATATCCTTGCTTCCATTTCCATTTTATGCCATTGACCATTTCTATATTTTATGTGGCTTATGTGAAATGAAAGGATCCATCATACTCCTAATTTTTTGGCACTTGATTTGGGGACAAAAGACCTTGAAATTTTTATTGTTTTCCCCAGTACCCAATAAAAGAATAGCTAAATAATAAAAATTTACGAAATTATAAAACTGCCATATCTTGTGACTGTTTTTAATATTCAATGCTCTCACTAAGCTTGTCATCGAAATTGTTATCCTTGCTGCACTTGATCTTAGCCAAAAGGTTGAGAAAGGTGTATTGAAATTTTTATCCTTATTGGCGATCTGCCATCTATAGACGTGCTGTCCTATTTGTTGGAATAAATCTATACTGAATTTGTGGCTGTAATTATGTGGTTTATTTTTCCTTTTTCCCCCCCTTAAAACTTAAGGAGGGAAAACATTTGGTCTACCAAAAGGTGGACTGCTACAGTGAGTTGCCCTCCCTTATTTTGGGGGCCTTAGGGGCATTTGCTTCTCCCCATATTTTACAGACACATTCTCTTGTACCTGGTGAAGAGGATTGTGAAAAGACGCCCTACAAAATTGCTCTTTTTTTTTTTTTGAGCTGAGAAAATGTGATGAATACATGCATTCCATTTTAAGAAAGAAAAAATGGTTTTAAATTGAGGTCCTTAGGGGTTTCAATTGACCCCAAACTTGTAGAGTGCCTAAAAATAGAAAAAAATTATTTTTGAGTTCTTAAAGGGCCAAATCGAGCTCCCCTTGGAATGGACAGCCTGCACTCACCAAGTTCAAAAAACCCATTTATGGTTTTTTTTTCCTTGGACTTCTTTGCTGGGTCCAAGAGAGAATTTGGTGCAAAACAACTGCCCCCTAAGGTCCCAAAATTGGGGAAGGAGGTCCATTGTGGCAGTTTGCCATGGGGCAGACCAAATTTTATCCCAAAACTTGATGTTTTCTGTGAAGATGAAAGTTTTAAGCATTTGAAGCACACTGATGTCGGGTATTTTTTCTATATGAATTAGAAGTTCTCTTTTGCCTGTTAATTCTTGCCTTTCCATTGAGAATCATACTAAAAAAGTTCATAATCTATGCTTTACATGCTAAATTTCTTAGGATGTATGTGTCATCATCATGCAATACTAGCCTTTTCTTTAGTAAATAGAGTTTTGTATTTAATTTGACATACTAGGCTCTTGTTTCAATTAATTTAATCATACCATTGAAGAAAAAGAGTCATTCTTATCCAACAAGAGAGAGTGTGTGTGCCAGTGTAAATAGATTTAGTTGCTATCTAATAATTGTAATCAAGATGGGAATGGAGATTTGGTTATGTATTTCCCCCTCTTCAAAGTAGGAATTTTTTTCTATGAAATTCTAATAAAGAAGGCTTCCATGCATATCCAAGATTAAGATGAAAGTCTGATTTTTAATTTTTATTTCTATTTTCACATAAAAAAAATTATGATACTTTCTTACTTCCTGTATTTTTTTAAATTGCAAATTTTGTTTTTTAAAATGTTTAAATTAAAATAAGGGATTTAAAATGATCTCTCCTTATAGAGAGCTAATAAATAAGGTTCCCATCTATATACAAGATTAAGATATATTTTATTTTAATTTTTGAATAATAATAAATAATATTACACTTCCTTAA